ATTTAACTGAACTAGTAATATTTTCAAAATTGATGTTCTGTTAAATAGCAATTTGACAACATGCTTTTGTAATATGGATTCCCTCCTCCATTCTCATTGCAAATCTTTACTATGTTATGCAGCACTGAGGAGAACAATGGATGTGGTCAGCTGCCTGAATCTCCTTCAGGAATAAAAGAGCCCTCATCTCAGCTTCTGGGAGCATCACAGCAGAGAGCACTGATTTCTCAGCCCCCTTTGGGGGTTGCCACAGTTTAAGGGGGCCACCTTCCTCCCCTAAAGCCATGCTCCTTCCCCCTCAACCGTAGCCAAGGACTGGTTGATTCTGGCTTAGAAAGGCTCAGCCCTTTCTTGCAAACTTCAGCCATCTCTAAAAGGTATCCCTTCTTCATCATTCCCTGCAGGGTTACCCGAGGCTTCTCCTGGGTCTGCATCCCAGCTCAACTTCTACCTTTGCCCAGTCCTTACCTCCTTTCCTCAGGCATTTAATCCCAAGAGCACTCTCTAGTAAAACCCTGAAAAGGAGATGTAATCTCAGTCCCCTTTAGTCCACTCAAACAAGGAGCAGGACATTTTGTCAGGCTGAAGAATAGGCCTGAAAGTATTTTGTATGTGTTTTACTAACTAGAGGGACATAAAGGATGAGACATAAACCCAGAGGGCCTAGCTGTAGGTATGTGTGTGACTCAAGTTCTTGCCTGGTGGTAGCGAAAGTTTCAAACTACTTCCCCTATTGTTTATTCTCTTTTTTCTCTTCTGTCTCTGTCCCTCCATCCTCCCATCTCCATTCTTTCTCCCTCCCTCCCCTGACCCCATCTGCCATCCATGCACAAGCCCTTGTGATATGAGAAGCACAGTGTCTTAGTCCGTTTGGGATGCTATTACAAAATACTATGGATCAGGGAGGAGCTTAGAAACAACACAAGTGTCTTTCTCAGTTCTGGAGGCTGGACGTCCAAGATCAAGGTGCCCGCTTGTTGGCAGGAGGGACTTCTTCTGAATTGCAGATTTTTCCTTGTTTCCCCACATGACAGAAAGGGCAAGGGAGCTCTCGGGCAATCTTTTATAAAGGCATTAAGCCCCACCCTCATGACCTAATCACCTCCCAGAGGCCTCCACCTACTAACACCATCATTAGGGCATTAGGATTTCAACATATGAATTTGAGGGGGACACAAAAATTCAGACCATAGCATATAGCAAGGCTCCTGTTGTCTAAACCTGTTCTACAATTGGCTAGCTTCCTCTGGCTGCAATCAGAGCTACAACTGGTTACAACTTCCCTCTTCTTTGTGCATAGAACTTCACCACTGAAGCCACTATTCTGTAAAATATTTCATTCTACAGTCAGAAGCATGAAGTTCCTATTCAGATATTGGGCTGGCCAAAAAGTTCATTTAGTTTTTTCTGTACAATGGCTCTAGAAGTGCTTAGTTGTCTTCAACTTCATTCAAAACAATTTTGTTAGATTGTATTGAGAGCTGTCACATCTGTGTGCCTTTTTAAGAAACATCAACAGTGATGAATTGTACAGCCAGTTTACTACTGAAAATAGAAGAATATACACAACATTTTTGGTGTGTTATGCTTTATTATTTCAAGGAAAATAAAAACGCAACTGAAATGCAAAAAAAGATTTGTGCAGTATATGGAGAACGTGCTGTGATGATCAAATGTGTCAAAAGTGGTTTGTGAAGTTTCTTGGTGCTCTTGACATTTTGGCCAAATAATTCTTTGCTGTGAGGCTGTTCTATGCATTGGAAGATGTTTAGCATCACCCCTGGCCCCTACCCACTAGAAGCCAATAGCGGGAGGTAGCCAGCCTACTCAAAATATCCAAATCAATTAAGTTATTAATGAAAATGAAAAAATGTGTCTTTTTTTTTTTTTACAGAAAAAACTGAACAGACTTTTCGGCCAACCCAATACATGTGTGTTACACGGGAAAGGAGGCTGAGAGCTTTTGCATATTTTGCTAATTAGCCTTTGCCTATTTACAAGAATTCAGGTTTTTGTTTTTTTGTTTTGTTTTGTTTCATTTTTTGTTTGTTTGTTTATTCAGGAAAATATCACTATGGAATGGAGTGAACTTGACTGAGAATCTCGAGTTGGCAGATAGGACAAATGTTTCCAGTGCAATTGGAGGACACTAAGATGCCAGACAGAAGTTCTAGGTTTTTTAGAGGTATTTCCCTTCCCAGGGTACATGGTGGTGTAGACATATCATTCAAAGCAAAAGGGACTGTCCAAACTGTGAGTACCTCTGGAAAATGCTCTGTCTCCTTCTCAATTTTACCCACTGGCTGTGTTACCAAAAACCTCTCAGCTGTCAGCTCAAAAGGTCAGAAGGACACTCTTCATACCTTGTCTGATCCTACCTTTGAGTGACACTTCTTACTGTGGACCAGCCCTTCCTTTCAGATGGCCCCCTCCCTCGGCCTTTGGCCCCCACTTCTCTGTTAGCTTCCTGCTGCCCCACTGAAGCTCTTCCTTGGGCTCCACTGTCTTCTTCTCAGGATTCCATCTGTCTTTTTCTAATTTCATATATTTTCTGATCAGAAGTGATAAATTCCTGAACAATAATGAGGATGAAGAGGAAGAGATAAAATGTGGAGACTACTTTGCAGGGGGTTTTAACTAACTCAAGTCAAACATGGGGGGAGGAAGCCAAGCTGCCCCTGAGCTCACCCACCCCTAGGTCAGAGTGAAAAGCCCCTCCTCCAGATCCTACAGCACGCTTGAAATACCTCTGCTGGCCACAGTCCTTATGCCATGGTCACATGCTTGTGGACTGACTTGTTTGTCTTTCTCAACGGATTGTGAGGTCCTTGAGTGTAGGAGGTCCCTGGTACCTCCACAGAGCCTGACACACAAGTATCCTGTTACTGAGTAAGTAAAGGAATACAATTCTTATAATATGTGCAGATAAAAATGTAGCAAAGGTTGCCATATATATTTAAAATGAGCTTCCCCAAGATGCTCAAATGCTGGTGCTGGTATTAAAGTTTCAAATTCCTCACTGACTACAAGGGAAAGGGAGACTGTCACCCTCTTCTTCAAGTTCTTTGAAATTTTTCTCTACTCAGTTATCAAATCAACGCACTATTTAGCTCGCAAATGTTCTGCTTACATGGGTTCCCTAAACAAAGCCTAAAGTCTAAGGTCATTAGCTCCTACAGATTTTGGTATCAACTATATCACGAACACAGTGTAGCAGCTTAATAAGTGAGTTGATAAATAGATGACTCCTGAACTTGGACTAGCAACTCCAGCCCGGTAGGAGGGCACCTTTTTCTTTCCTGAACTGTCCCAACCCTTTCTTCGTCTGTCTACATCCTTTCTCTTCTGATAATTGCCAAAACCCACAGAACTCCAAACTCTCAAAGCACATTTGTACTTATTCACACATTGTATGTCTCTCAGTGACACCCAAGTAATTGTGTTGTAAATGTCATGTGACCTCAGCTGCACTGTAAGTCTCTGGAGGGCAGGGAATGTGTATTTAAAGCTCTATTATCACTCCTTCTACAATTCCTTTCACAGTGATATACATGGAAGACTTTTAGGAAATGTAAAACTAACTGGTTTAGATTCTCCGTTACAAGACACCTGGAACTTTAATGAGAACCGTTCTTCTTCGAGAATTAGAATAAGGTACTCTGGGTCCTCAAACCTGAATCTAGGGCCTCGAGGCTCCTGAGTTAGAAAAATGGTCCCAGCTCCTGGGCCTAAGGTGGGGCTGCCTATCACCTCACCCCTATGGTTTTAGTGTTCACTTAAATTACGGTAGTTGTTTGGTCATAATGATAAAAGCATTTTTTTTTCAGGCTTATGGCATTTTCCCCAATTATGCATGTAATTGATGCCATCACTATTTCTTGAAATGACAACCATAGACCCCATATCCACATTGTTTCATCTTCTATGTATAAATTCCAACAGACTGCAGCAGTTGATACAGTACTACATATCTAGACAGTAAGTAGAACCCTTTACGAGGAAATGCATTTAAATCATTCCTCCCTGCTCCCCCCGCCCCTCCCCCCGCCGTTAAGAATGAGGCTAGCCAGTCTCTTGAGTAAAGGAAAGTCAGAATCCCCCCAAATGAGAAAAAGCTAGAATCCTATTCTGCCAGGATCGCTACGGCATGACAAATCTTTCCTATAATCAGGCCCCTCTTTCTCTCCAACCACTTCAGACACAGCACTGTGGAGAGTCCTGGCCCTGAGGCCCAGAGTGTGGATGCCATCGCGGGGGAACAGGTTTTTACAGCCAGGTCCGATCACAAACCGACAGCAACCGCAGGCTGACAGTTTTTGTAGCCGAGCGTTTTCTAGTCAGGCCTCTTACATTTCACTTCCACCCCCAAACCAGGAAGTTGTTTAAGATGAGCCAAAGACAAAAGCAATCCAGCCTCAGAAAGAGAGGCCCCAAGCTCCGGGAAGGCTATAGGAGTTTAAACTTGGGACTACTCTTCGGTTTGGATTGGGACTTGCAGCGTCCTCCCCGTAAAACATTATTAAACATTCCAAATTGCCACCCCGCCCCCCCCAAAAGTAAAATGACATAAAACATACACAGAGGCGCGCGCATACACAGAACGCAAACACACAGACCAATTTGTTTTTGTGATCCGCTCTCTTGTCCAGACGGTCCAAGCTTAGGCCAGATTTGAGCTGGTACATTCTTCCAGCCAAGCCAGGGTAGATTGTAGAAAAGGTGTCTATTTCTCGAGATTCTTAGGAAATAGAGTCCAGACGCAGACGTGCCACGCCCGTGTCCCGCTCTCCCGTTGCACAACTGCACGATAAGTCTGGGCAAGTCGAAGAAGGAACCCCGCGACCTCCAGCCCCTCCTCTCCGCGGCCCACAGGGAACCCAGCAGTCCTAGGGCCCGGGGGTTGGGGTGGGGACGGTCACTGAGTGAAGACAAGGGGCAGAGGGTGTTAAGTTTCGGGCCAGGACCGCTGCGGCCAGCGGCGGGCAGGAAGGGGAGGGGCCCAGCCAGGCTGAGGGCAGCCCCTGCACGGGCTTGGGGTTGGATCGGAAAAGCTGCCTCACGGTGCGTCTGCCAGCCCCTCCCTGCCCCAGCCTCCCTTCCAGTCTCCGCTGCGCCCTCCCTGAGGCAGCGCACGTCGCCGCCTCGCCATGTCCCAGCCGGCCCAGAAGCCCCCTGCCTCCCCGCGGCCCAGGCGCGCTGCAGCCGCCCGCCACACCCAGGAGGTGAGTGGCGCTTCAGTCCGAGCCGCAGGGCTGTGTACTGGGAGGACTCCAGCCTAGAAGCTCTGGGGTCACCCCCTCCGGGCGTAGCCTGCCTGAAATGCCACCATGAACGCCCCTTCCCATTCTTGTGAAGGGCGGGGGACCCAGTGTCCACCCCAACGGCAGGTGGCTGGAGGTGGCCAGGGATTCCCGGGCCTGGGCTAAGGGCGCTGGGCGTGGCGCAATCCGGAGAAGTGGGTGGCCTGCTTCAGGAAAAGTTGGTTGGTGACTCTCGAGTAAAATGACATGGAGATGAAAAGGGATCAAAGTTCAGTCGGGACCCTTCTCCCTCACCCCCCTACCCCCGGCCCCCAGAGTGGGGTCTTTCAACTGGACTGCAGGATCCTGTCTTCCGTGTAAAGTCAGAGCTGCAGGGTGTGGCAGGCGGGAGCAATAACACATCTTTTCTAACTAGCGGGGAGCCAAATCTGGGGGGAGGGGCCAGCCCGTTTGGGGCGGGGCCTGTGTCAAGTCCAGCCCAGGTGGCCGCCCAGCCCAGGTGGCCGCCCACCTGACAGCAGCAGGACGTGCATAACTCTTTGCCAGCCAAGTCCAGGGCAGGTGGAGTGCGAGTCCTGCGCCTTCAGCACCTTATCCCGATTCCTTGCCGGGTCCTGTGCAGCGCTGCTCAGAACAAACGGGTTATCACCATGGCATTCGCAAGTTGGTGGTACAAGACGGTAAATACAAGCGATCGTTCTCGGGCAGGACCGGGAAGGGAATGTTTTCTCTTTGCCTTTCTGGGCGTGCGGACGAGGTATTATTCGTCCGGAGTTTGGTGGGGAAGAGGCGCGACCTCCTCTCGGATCTTCGGGTTAGGCCCGGGGAGAGTCCCAGACTCACCCAGCGGTGGTATGTGGGAGCGCGCCCGGGCGTGCGAGTCTGTGTGAGCAGAAGCACCAGTCTCAGCTCGTGCTCAGAAATTGAATGAAACAGGAATTATGCTGGAGGAATCCTGCCCTGGGACTCAGATTCCTGGAGGAACTCGGACTCAGCTCTCGAGAGCTAATACCTAGTGTTTGCTTTTAATCCGTGAGTAAAGCTTAAAACATTTAGAGGAATGATCTTGGTCGTGCAATTCTCCAGCGCAAAGGAAGAGAGGCAGCTGGGATGGGTCAAGGAGAAAACCCAAAACTCCAAGAGCGCAGGCAACTGAGTGTGTGTGGAGGCAGGGGGTGGGGGGCGGTGGTAGTGCTGCTCTATAACTGTACTTTGGATGAGGGACAAAGATGCTCCATTTGTTTAGTGCTTTGCATGCCCGACCAACCAATTAAGTGTGATACCCAGTCAAGCTGGCACTTGTAATGTGTAGGAGCCAGAAAGCAAGATTTAACAATGGATTTCTCCCCCCGCCCCCCAAAAATACACAAACGTTTTGTTAACCAAGAGAGTGAAAATATTTATATCTCATTGATTTATGGTGAGGATTTAAAAAGACGTAAAGCACACCACTCTCTACCAGCATGTGGTATGGAAAAAAGCAATGACATTGTAATCAGACCCTCTTTAGAGAGGAATCTTATGTTGGAATTAGTAAACTGTCACTTAGCCAAATACCATTTACTGAGCATCTACCTGAGCATGTGCCAGGCCGGAAAAAAAAAAAAAAAAAAAAAGGTTTAAAGTGCTAGTCCCTAAGTACACAGTGGAGAACAAGACAGAGTTCTTTTCTTGGTTGCAAAGGGTGATGAGTCAATCTTTTTGAACCTGTTTCCCTATCTATAAAATGAGTCTCATAAGGGGTTCAGAGTCATGAATCAAAGTACCATATGTATATAACTTTAATATTGGGAATTCCAGTTTCTCTTAATACATTTCTTCATGAATGTTTCCCATTATGTTTTCTGGGCTTTTAAAATGCAGCATCTTATTGATGTGTTGAAAGCAAAAGTTTGCTTTCAGTCATTATTTTTCTGAGGTTCTTATTAAAGGATACCACATGAATTATCTGCAAATATGGATGTCAGTGGTTCAGAGTTGATATCAGAATTCTTCCAAATTCATGATTCTCTAAAGGAAACTATGTGGGAATATTTGGATGAAAGTAGTTTAAATCTATGCTTTTAACTGTTACATTTAGGAGTAGTGTGACATTTTTGCTAAAACTTCTCTTAGAATCCAGTTTTGGAACTGCAGTATTATAGAAATTGTTTGCTAGTAGGAACCTCATAAAATCAGCAATATGCCTGTGGCCATACTTTGACTTTTCCTACACTAGTGCTGTCCAATAGAAATACAGTGGGCCACATCTGTAATTTTAAATTTTCTAAGAGACACATAAAAGCAAAAATAAACAGATAAAATTAATAGTAATAATACATTTTATTTAACTCACTATATCTCAAACATTATTTCAACATGTAATCAATGTACAAATCATTTATTTTATCTCTTCTTTCTCGTTAATTTTTCAAAATCTAGTTCACACTTGCCACCTCTCAAATGCTTGATAGGTTTGAGTGACAAATGGCTACAAATTTGGACAGTACAGCTTAGGTTCCTAACCAGTTTTTATGGTGGTTGTGAGTGAGTGATCACAGACCATTTCTAGAAGTAAATGAAAGTTAGGGACCATTTTTCCACAACAAAATACATATGCACATGCATACACATACCAAAGCCCACCAATAAGTCCCCTAAAGGTCCATGGAGCAGCCAAATTATAACATATATACATATATATGTATATACATATATTTATATATCATTTATGTATTATTATATATATCATTTACCATTTGGTAAATCCTATAACTAAAATACCTTTAATAGGACCCTATAAATATTTAAAACATTTTTTTAAATTGCTGTTCAATTACAGTTGTCTCCATTTTTCCCCATTACTCGCCCCTACCCTGGCCCCCCAACATTCAATCCCCCATGCCATTGGGACCCTTTAAATATTGAAAAACAATTGTGAATGACCTAACTTTAAAAATTTAGACAGAATAAAATAAAAGATATAAAAGATATATCTGTGATGTGTTTGTTTAAGGGAATGCCACATATAAAGCCAGTCGGTGAAACATTGCAATGTATGTTTCCATATTGGATAACATCAATATCATCGATCTTCTGAACTAAGTAAAAAGTTAGAGTTGAAGAACACCTGATGAACATCGTAATGATGAAGAGAAAATTTGGTTTACAGCAGTAATCACATTCCTGAGTTCTAAGCTGACTTGATTAGGCCATGTTAATTAAAGGTGTTCCTTAGCCTAATTAGACCCATGATCCCAGTGGCAGCATGATCAAGGAGCCCAGTCACCTGGGAGGTGCATCATTGCAGCCAGCCTGGGAAGAGTGTCTGTCACAAGCCTTCCGGGGCTGGACAGGCCACATGGCTGCAGGGGTGTTTAGGGGTAGGAATGCAAATTATAGTGTCTGCAAGGATACAGGCTTTAAGGTGTTGAGAGACTGGAGGTCAGACACTTTAGTCTTTAGGTTGGCAATTTCTGAGTTACTTTGCTTCCCACTGCAGATAAGACTTTTAAACTAAGAGTGACATCTGATAATAGTGTTCTTTAATCAGTTTTGACACTTCCCAGAAAGTTAATTATATTATACCAGTGCTTTTTAAAGAATGATATAGCTTGCTGAGGGTGGAAGCAGTGGGTGGTCATTTGAGATTCTGAGGTGAATGGGTGGATAATTAGTTCTGAGCAGGTTATCTCAGTGGAATACAACACTTCTCTAAGCAGCCCATCTTTATTCTATTTTTCCCTTGAGGTCTCTTTTTTTTTTGTTGTAAAATACACATAACAGAATTACCATCTTAACTATTTTTTAAGTGTAACATCCAGTGGAATTAAGTACATTCATGTTCTTATGAAACCATCACCACTAATTCCAGAACTCTTTTTATCTTGAAAAATCAAAACTCTATATCCATTCAACATACATCCCCATTTGTTTTACATACATACATCAAATATATAGCATTTATATTCAAGTATCTGTGTTCTTTACCATATCCCCTTTTTATTCTATTTTAAGAACATTTAACATGAGATCTACCCACATAACAAATTTTTAAGCATACAGTACATTGTTGTTGACTACACGTTCATTGTCGTACAGCAGGTCTCTAGAGTTCATTCATGTTGCTTGACTGAAATTTTATGCCTTTTGATTATTAACTTCTCAGTTATCTCTTTGTGTAGTCCCTGGCAACCATAATCTGCTTTCCGTTTTTATGATTTTGACTACTCTAGGAATCTCAGATAGGTGGAATCATGCAGTATTTGTCTTTTCTTGACTAGCTTATTTTACTTAGCATAATGTCATCAAGAGTCATCCCTGAGAGCCTATGTCAGATTTTTTTTTCCTTTTTAAGGCTGAGTAATATTCCATTGTGAATAGGTATATGACATTTTGTTTATCCGTTGATCTGAGAATGGGCACTTAGATTGCTTCCACTTTAGCTGGTTTTTGAGGAACCACCTTACTATTTTCCAAAGTGGTTGTACCTTTTTACATTCCCACCATCAGTACATAGGAGTTCTAACTTCTTTACATGCTCACCAATACTTGGCCCACTGCCTTCTGGCCTTTAAGGTTGCTGATGGGAAATCTGCAATTTTATTGCTGCTTTCAATATTATTTCTTTGTCTTTCTACAGTTTGATTATAATGTGGATTTATTTGAGTTCATCCTACTTGAAGTTTGTTGAGCTTCTTGTTTATGTTCACATCTTTCATCAAACATGGGAAATTTTAGGCCATTATTTCTTTGTTTTTAAATCCTGCCCAAGGATATATTTTTATTGATTTTAGAGGGTGGTGGGGGGAGGGGGAAAGAGAGAGAGACAGACAGACAGACAGACAGACATTGAAGTGAGAGAGAAACACCAGTCATTTATCTCCTGTACACTCTCTGACCACGGATGGAACCCACAACCTTTTGGTGTATGGGATGGCACTCCAACCAACTGAGCTACCCAGCCAGGGCAGGCCGTTATA